TTGGCAGTTTACACTTGGAATTAATTCTCACCTTACTCCTGTGAACTTGGAACTCCTCCTAATTCCTGTACCTTTGTTCCTGTGGTAGCCACTTGTTGATCTAACAAGCAACTAGATTCTCAGCTGCTGCTCTGTAGTGCCAGCACCTTCTCATGGCAGCCATTAAGCAATGTCTGCTGGACAGAACGCATTACTTCTTGCCTGATGTTCTAGATATGAAGATAGATGTTCGGGAAGTCTGTGAAATAGATCACACTTAAAATTGAAAGCTCTGTGCCAAGTCCCCAAGGGTGCAGTGGTGGCTTTGTTATTTCATTCTAGAAGTTAGAGTTCAGTAGGAAAGCAGGGTTCTCCATACAGTGGCTTGTTGTTGAGTGTCTACTTGGTGCCAGGTAGTGGAGATGATTGTGAACAGAGATAGAAATTCCTTCTTGAAGCATTAGTGTGGAGTCAGAGAGACAGACAATATGAATTAAGTGTGAATCCAGTTGTACCCTTCATTCAGCATCATGCAGAACCATTCATCATTCATGCAGGGTACCCCATGGTGTGAGAACTAGCAGCATGTTGTGGGTAGCCTCTAAGAAGCCGGCATCATCTACATACAGCAAAGGAGATGTGAAGAGGAACATACAGTGTAACTGCCTCGGTGAGGACCAGAGAGGTAGTGAGGGATGGGGTTAGGATGAAATTGATGCCTTGAAGTGATACACCAAATCTTCTCTTGTGAGGTTTGCAACCTCTGTAAATGGGCAGCAGAAATGAATGCTGTCCTTCCTTTCAATACGCTGTAATTCTTTTGGTTGTGTTATGTGTGTATGGTATGTTGTATGTTTGTGGTATCACATACCACATATTTGAGTGTGTATGTAGAGGTCACAGTTCAATATCAGATGTGTTCCTCTATCATTCTTCACCTTATTCTTAAGACAAACTCTCTCACTGAACCTGAAGATCATGGACTTAGCCATGGCTGAGATCCATCCCTCTCTGCCCTTCAGTACTGAGGTCCCATGAGCATGCTGCCACACCCAAGTTATACTGGGGTCCGAGGGATATGAATTCAGGCCCCCATGCTCTTGTGTCAGGTCCTTTAGTGACTTATCCATCTCTCCAGCCAAGGCTATACTTTTTAACACAGTTTACCATAGTCTTTCTAAGTGTCTATAGCATCTGAATAAGTAAGCATGGAAAACAACGATCACATGGATTCCATATGCTGATTAAGTCCACCCCACACCTCTAAAAATGCCAGTGTGCTTGCGTGGGAGAGGATATAAAGGAAGATCCTAAAAGGAACGTTAAAAAATATATGTTGGTACAATGACAACATATATATGGATGACTGTGTCATAATGAAATAAACTGTTCTGTATAGTAACTAGAAAAACAGTGTGTGTGTGTGTGTGTGTGTGTGTGTGTGTGTGTAAAATTTTTGGTTTTGTTTAGTGGTGTAACAATATAAACCAGGGGCTCATTCCTCCTCATGAAAGCTCTTCCTCTGAGATCACTCATACCCTTTAGTGTACAGTATTTCTAATGGTCATCCAACCACAGATATGATTTTCAAAAACTAAGAATAATAAAAACGGCCTGCTTCATTTGATGATTGCATCCTCTTTATTTGCCCAGGCGTAGTATGTCCATTAGAATAACATCTGGACTAGCCTGAATACTCATGAGAACTTGTTTTCAATACCGTGAATGTAAGAATAAAGCAAAAACCAATGATCACTTCTAAATTCTTTCATATGTTTTGCATAAGAACCTGCTGATATTTAATAATAACTGTGGAATTATTTCTGAGTCCTCAAAAGGAGTAAAATGAATTATTAAAAGGACTCTTGTACCACTTGCATAGTTTGTAGATGAAATGACGGGTTGATACATAACAGAAAAATCAATGGAATAGCAAGCATATTGTGTAATAATTTTTAAGAGTTATCAAATATCTAATCACACTGGAAGAGTGGTGCCCTATCAGAAAATTGTCTTGGTCTGTGAAGTAGTTTATTGTGACATTCTCGATAGGAAGCAGTATCTCTGACACAGGGCCCGAGAGCCAGAGATCCAGTGGGCTTGCTTGGCTGTTTGTTTGGCTGGTTGGTTGGTTGTTTGGTTGGTTGGTTAGTTGTTTGGTTGGTTGTTTGTTTGGTTGTTTGTACTTGTACCCAAAGAAGGAGGAGTCATTTTATTGTTAAGGTAAAAAGTTTCCAACACAGCAAGAAAGTTTAAAAAAAAAAAATGCTCAGAATTGAGCGAAATTATAAACATGCTAAACAGTCCCAGATGAGTCAGTATGTATAAATAGAAAAAATCGGTGTCCAGGGCCTCAGTGGTGCCACTTCCGACTCTTCTGTGTGGTGTAAATCACCCCGTGTGAGCAGTAATGTCCCACATGGCAATCAGTCTCTGTGGAGTACACTGTCAGATCCACGGTGTTACACAACACCAAGATCATCCTTTGCTTCAATCTCGTGCGTCCTTTTCTTTTCATCTCCAGCAGTTAGTACTAAGCCCTGAAACCCTCAGTTACAGGACAAAGTGGCTCAGGAGTAATGGAGCCTGTGTGAGGCTCCGAGAAGAATAATGAACGTGCCCAGCAAGCTTCCTGCCTAGATGCAGGTGCAGAAATCAGGCGTTCATGAATAATGCATGAAATGCAGATTAGATGGTAGTTTATGCTACTGGGTTTTTGAGTCTGCTACCTGCCTGGATGCTATGTGTGGAAAGAGGTTGATAGCCGAGGCGCTATAATTTCAAGATGGAACTCCCCAGAACTCGGCGTGTCCTTTTGAAGAAATGAAATTTTAAATGATAGCTGACATGTAACAGTTGTCACATTTTTAGATGAAATAAGCACCCTCAGAGGAAGAAAATACTTCTCAATTCCTATTTTGAGTTCAAGAAATGTTACAGTTATTTGGTCATACAAATAATCAGAAAGTTTTGGGGGTTTTGGTTTGTTTGTTTTTTTTTTCCCTAAGATTGCTAAACCATGATGGGAGTTATGCATTTAGAGTATTTCATCTAGGATTCCTGAATTTTTTTTTCTCAAAGACACCAATGTCTAAAATGCTTTCTAATTATGGAATAATGAAGCCCAGTCCGCCTTCCCTGTGTAGACATGGGGTGTAAAATGGGTGGTGACAAGACACTGTGCTCATTCACCTTCAGCTGCTGCAGTAGCTGCTGTAGCTGACCGTGTGGAAGACATAGTTCCTATGTACATGTAGGCTGAAGGAGGGCGCAGTGAAGGGGTTAAGTGTTTAAAGGACTTAGCGTGGAGTGAGTCCTGGGAGCAGATGACTTCTGGAAATGTACTTAAGAACCAGCGCCACAATGAGGGGCTGGGAGGAGTTCCTGGCGGTCTACAGTTTTCCTTTGGTCAGCGGTCTTATCTGGTTATCTAGGGAGGAATTTTTTAACTCAGATGTTCATCTTGAACATTCATCTTGAGGATTCTATTTCAAGAAGGCAGGGAAAATGAGATCTGTTACTTTTATGTACGTCTGTCTCTCTCTCATATGTACATGCATATATGAGAGAGATAAGTCTGTGTCTTAAGGTGCTAGAGTATGAACTGGCTTTCATTTTTAGCTGACGCTGTCATTTCCGCCAGGCCCCGGTCTGGACAGACGCCAAGACCAACAGGTGATCCCTTGTAGCTGCAGAGCAGCAGGAAGGGAGCGAGCTTGAATGAGGCAGTTCAGCAGAGGGGCTCTCTGGGCTCCCTCCATCTTTCTGCATAATTATCGCCCCCCTCCCCCATGCAGAGCAGAAAATCTGTGCCGAGCAGCTCAGCTGCAGCCCCCACTGAGAAGCCTGTGAGAAAAAGAATGTTAATAAGGGGTGCTGGAGGAAATCAGCATCCAGTACTGAGTGCAATCCAGCTCCGGTTTGGGAAACATGGCTCCTCCCCCCACACACACACCGAAAAGCTGGCCATATCTGTTTTGATATGATTTTCACTGAGTAGCAGGGAGGGGCTGGGGTGCAGATGGACCTCGGGCTGCTGGTTTAACAGGGCCTTAGGACCAATTGAGATAATTTTGTGTCTTTCCTTAGTCCTTCCCTTGTTCCTTCCCCTTCTCCTTCCCCGCCACCCTGTGAATAAAAACAATGTATGGAGTGTGAAGATGGGAGATGACTCAAGCTAGAAGAATGGCTAGATCTCAGGACTCCTGGACAAGCAGTCCAAAGCAAGAAGTGAGCCACTAGGAAGCTAGAAGTAGCCATACTGCTTCCTTGGCAGTTGGTAACTCACAAGGAGGACATCCAGCCACTCGCCCCTGTTGGAAGATACCAGCAGCTCCGGGAAACTTTAAACTCAAACCCCATGTGACTCTAACCTGAGAAATTTGGAAAACTATGTATTTCTTTCTACTACCTGGCTAAAGTTTTGAATTCACTCCTTCCTCATCTCAGATATGGAGCATAAATTCCAGAAAGCCTGTCTCCTGGAAATAACTGTCCACTCTTCTGTCCTGCCCTGTTCTCACACACTCCATTCCTGGACACTTAGATGAAGTCCTGCTGTTTCCTTGACTTTTGCATTTAGAAACAGACTGAAAGTGTGGTCACTTCTCTGTCTCTTTGTGCAGTTTCTATGGGAACAGACATAAGGGCTCAGTGAGGGCAGGTATCATGGCCTCCGTGTTACTTTATGCACTCTTACCCCCAGGCAAGGATTACATCTTCAGTTACTGTGTCTTCTGCTAGAGGAGTACATCTGTTCATTGAAACCAGTGGTGCTGCATTTGGGACCTTCACAATTAACATGGGATACCTTGTTGCCTTGGGAGAGATAAAGGAAGAAGCCTTCAAGTTTGCAGACACTGGAATTGAATTGCATCTATTTACTATTAGATGGTCAAGTTCACAGGAGAGAACTAATCAAGTAAACCTAAGAGCTCATTGATAAAGCAGACTTTCTGCCTTCCCATCTGTGGTCAATATGATGTTTTCTCAGTCACTGACTGACTTTTTTCTGTTGACAGGGTACATCCATCCCCAGTATCCAGGGTTCGGGGAAACCGAATGAATAACCAGAAGTTTGCTTGGTGAGTATACAAGTGAAGTTATAAATATTTGTTAGTCTCGTATTGCTGTGGATGTTTTCTTTTCTTTATTGAAGCAGTGTCTCATAGATCCCAGACTAGCCTGGAATAAACAAAGAAACAAACAAACATCGGCAGAGTTCCTTTTAGTTAAAACTCTTCATTCACCAAAAACTTTATAGGTAGCAATTTTTCCCTAACATGTATTCTAACTTCCCAGGATCACCCAACTCACCTTTGAAAACAGGGGTTCCTTTTTAAAATGTGATTTATTTAGCCCAGACTTTTCTTAGGTGTCACCTTCAGCTTCTAGTGAAAAAATCTAGTTAATTAATCTATTTATTACCTTATTAATAAACTGCAGTTATTATAAAATTAGTAAATCCATAAATAAAATTATTAATCTTTAGATGACCTCTCTTCCCTTCGGCCTTGCAAGGTCTTTCTTTAACTGACAACTTCTTGAACACAACTCTCAGTAGACCTCCCCAGAAATGATATGAAGTTATTTCAACCACGTCTGATATATGATTCTTTGAAGAGCCAACTTAAAGGACTTCAAAAATGTTTTATGTGAAACCAAGAAAATAGATTAATATTGGTTCAAAAATCTGCTTCTTTATATTACTGCACAAAATTAGCCTTCCAATTCATAATGTATCATGGAAAGGAAGATAAAAGAAAGAAAAATGAAAGAATTGAGACATGCACTGTGTTACTTCAAAAATGGGTAGGAATTCATAGATCTCTGTCTTACTGTTTTAGATTATGCTTAGAACAAGATTTTGATCAGAAAGCAATGTTTTCTTAATGTGGGAAGATGAGTGCCAAAGATTCCACTTCGAAATTAATTTAATTCCTAAACCAGGATATTTTTTAGGGATACAAATGGCACTTTGAATAGTACCTGATCAATTTGCCTCCCTCCATTTCCCCATTGAATCTAATTAGCCTTCACAATAGCCTGGTGCTCTTGTGAAATATTTTGCTTTGCTTTTCACAAAGAGGGAGACGCAGCACTGAGGATGAAGCCTTTTCTTTGGCTGCCCAAAGGCTGGGCATCGTTGATGGTCATTCTCAGTCATTAAGGCCTGCTGTCCCTTGTCAGACCTGGAATGATGAGAGAATGACAAAGCCAGGAGACAGAATGAAAGTAAGGGGGAAGCCAGGTCCAGTTTGGACTCTGTAGAACTTATATTCCTTCTTAGGTGAAGGCACATTATACCGAAGAAACTACTCTGTGCAGAGAGGACATGAGATATTCAAGTGAGCAACATGAGCCAAAAATGCCAGGGACCACTGGTAGCCCTGGGGTCTGGCATCTGCCCCTTTGCTCTAAAGGGCTGAATGGGAAACACTGAGTAGATAATACATTTTCTTTCTCTCCCTTTTCATTCTATACAAGAGGCAAAGATAACCTGTTCCTCCAGAGTTTGTAGCCTGTCAGTTGGTTGGTAAGATTAAACTACTTTTATCTCTAAATTAGTAATCCATGAAAATAACCCAAAGGGATTTTACTACTAGCCCTGAGAAAATTCAGCTCATGTTTATTTAACTACATTTATTTATGTTCCAGGCACTGTTACAAGCACTAGATTAGAAAGATAAATAAAGCATGGTTTCTATCCTCAGAAGGCTAAGTGGCTTCTAGGGGAGGGGTGTGTGTGTTTTTGTGGCACAGGGAGAGAGTGAACGCCCTTAAGTCCTGACACTCTTCGTACTGCTTCCTTGGCCTCTATGCTGGGAACCACATGCATGCTCACATACGTATATGATAAGCTTAGATTCTCTAACGCAATGTAGATGATACTCTGTGGACATGTTCATAGGGGTCACTTACCACCTTTATTTAAGACCACCTGGAGAGGTGTAGTTCTGAGGGGTAAATATGTAGGAAGGAAGAGACCTAAAAATCAATTCCAAAACCCAAGCCTAGAGCTCATGCCTAGCGTGCTCACAAGTTCTGGATTTGATCCTTAGTACTGTAAAAACAAAAGAAGAGAATCCATCCCAGAGAAGAAATCACTGGAGTAAAGACATATTGTTAGTAGGGAAAATAGCGAGATGAGCTATTGTGTCCTTTAAAGATGAAATCAGACCCAGAAGAAGATGAAGACATTTCTAAATTGATTCTAACAGGAATAGTGATAGATCTACTGTATAAACTTGTTTGGTCAGGCGCTAGCTAAAATGTCTATGATCTATTCTGCCTTGAATCTTCCTTAGGTAAATACTGTGACTCTGGTGTGTGGATAAATCACCTGCAAGGAAGAAGCAATGAATCATCCAGCATCTATTCCTAGTGAAGTGATAAATGGTTGATACTTGGTTGTGAAATATTGACTATGAAAAAGTCAGGAAGTTTAACTACTCATCTAGCAGTGGTGAGAACAGGCAGGAGATATTTGCTCTCCTCAAAATAGAAGTTGGGGATAATTTGTAGAATTCTATGTCAAGTTCATCACTAGCTTGGCTCTGGCTTCCGCTAGAGCCTCAAATAGTATGCATAAGAGTTAAGAACTGTGAATTCATACAGTTGGGTTAGCAAATGCTCCAATCAGTTAAAGCTGTTCCTCAAATAAGCAATTAAAATCCATAAATAATGAAAAGGCTTGTACTTCCTCTGTGGAGTGAGATATAGCTCACTCAGTAGGTTCTGGAAGGCAATGGTTGTGGCTGACAGCTCCTAAACCAATGTCTATTATTGAGTAAGGTGACTTTAAAACATTTAAAGTAGCATTTTCCTCTTCATAAGACTGACACAAGGACGCAACCACTGGCCACTTTCATGGTAGCTGTCTGTGTTCTGGAGGTGAAGAACTATGTGGGCAAGGATGTCTTTTCAAAGCAAACAACATCAGCCAAAACCCAAAGAAAATGCATTAACACTGTGAACACATCCAGAGAGAGAACTGGAGCACCAGGGCCTCTGGGTCCATGATAGATGCTAGGATGCAGCCAGGTTTGAGCTATGTACTAACTCTCAGGGATTCAGGAATGGCAGGAAGATCTTTCTTACAAGGATGGAAGCATAACAATAAAGAAGACTGGGTTATTAAAAGATTCATTTCATAAAAAAACCAGTTGAGGAAAGTGGGCCAGTCCAGATACAAGCTCCATCCCCCTCAGAGCCACCACACTGTGGGGTGGTTGCTGATTTGGGGATTGTTAACCCTTTGGGCTCCAGGAGTATAAATTTCATGGTATCATGCATTGGACTGCTCCTCTGTGTTTCACTATTGCCCCTGCAAGGAGGTGTCCATAACTGTTAGGGGGTAAGGGAGTAAACCATTTTCCTTGTACTACCCCTGGGGTTCATTAGCTGAGACTCTCATCTTAGCCAGCAGCAGAGAGGCTACTATGGGAAAAGTGAAGGCAGGTTCATGAACACGTTCACTGCACATTCATAGGGGAATGTGCCCACGCAAGGGGCTCAGAATGAGGGGAAGTTGGAACTTGGGTTTCTGTAGCATCTATTGCATCTTACCAGAGGGTTTATTGCATTTGGTTGGTTTATTTGCATTTTATTTTTGGAGAGATGATGAGACAAAGAGAGAAGACTTTGGACTTCTAGGGACGGCAAGTTATGGGATGGTAGGTATGCAGGGGACACTAACCCAAGGGGAAGAGTTGCTTAGTTGGGTTCCACTGGTGTCATCCCTGGATTAATAAAAGTTGTCTCTCCTGATAGAAATGACCCTGTCCTTCTGGAAAAATGGGGAGTGCAAAGAGGTTTCCTCATACCTGCTCTTTAAGATTTACTTTGGTAAATCTTAAGACACACACACACACACACACACACACACACACACACACACACACACACGCCTGTAGAGAACAGAAGACACCATCTGATCCTTGGAGCTGGAGTTACAGGCTACTGTGAGCTACTTGTCATGGGTACTGGTAGCCAAACTCAGGTCTTCTGGAAGAGCAGCAAATGCTCTTAACATACCTAGCAGACTCTCCAGCCTGCTGTTGCTTCTTTTCATTTCCCTTGGGTCACGTGGATTCTTATGCGTCTGCTTTTTTTCATCTGCCTTGTATGACATAGATTCTCATGCCAAACTGCTGTATTTTAGGGTATGCTGTTCTGCTCCCTTTCACTGTGTAAATCTTCTTTCAGAACATTGACTTCCCTTTCTTGGACATGGTAATACAAGAAAAAAAAGTTTGTGATCTTTCAGGCAAGTGGGGATATTTCCCCATTAAAACACTGAATGTGAAGTTAGATTTTTAACTCACTGTAGTTTTTTTTTTTTTTCTGGAAGCTGTTCTCCTGTAAAATTCACAGGAGAGTGGCCATTTCCATGTTTGACTTCCATCATTATGTTTTCAAAGGTACAATACAAATCTGAAATCTGTGTGTTTGGGTGCATGTGTATGGTAGGACAGAACCAGGGGGGTTCTGTGGGGATTTTTGTCAAATAGACACCAAAGTTGGTTTACAGCTGCAGATACTTCTAGGATTGGGTGAGTGCTCAACTACATGACCATCTCCATATATGCTCATCCTTCGCTTTCACACATTCCTCTCCCTCTGTTTCCCCTCCACCCTGCCCTGCCCTTCAGGGTTTAAAGGACCTGGACATTTGTCATTATTTGGGAGTGGTAATGGTGGACAGTGTCTCTGGAACACATGCCAAGAGTCATTGCATGCATTGGTACTTGGTGCCTCATAATTGAGACTTTATGGTTATTTTTCTGCTGACATAGAAAGTAAAGCATTTCTCCCCATTAGTGGAAATTGTCCTCAGTAAAGCAGAAGTAATTTTCTCTATTGACGTCGCTGTCACCATCTCAACTATGATCTCTCTCTTAATAGTATGTCTGAGATTGTGAAGACGTGGGAAAGTCCCAGTTTTAATAGTCTCCAGCCAGATTATGCATTCTGCATTGAATCATGTTTAACATTTGCATGTTACAAGTTTTTGTAGAGGGCAAGAAGTTCCTGTTCTCACTTGAATGTCTTACTGTTGGAGATGCGCTACAGTAAGCTTAAA